GATGAAGAAGCAAGATCCAACAATATGCTGCATACAAGAAACACACTTAATTCAAAAGGAAACTCATAGACTGAAAGTTAAAGGGTGGAAAAAAAAAGCCATGCGACAGGAACCCCCTAAAAAGCAGGAGTAGCTATCTTCCTTGCAGATCAAGTGGATTTCAAACCAACACTCATTAAGAGAGACAAAGAAGGACACTACATCCTTGTAAAGGGAACAATCTAACAGGTAGAGATGACAATCATTGACATCTATGCACCAAACACTAGTGTACCCAACTATATAAAACAAATAATAACGGACATGAAAAATCAAATAAGCACTAACACAAGAGTAGTGGGGGACCTCAATACCCCACTGTCACAAATAGATAGATCAACTAGACCAAAAATAAGTAATGAAATACTAGAACTCAATCAAACTCTTGAACAAATGAACTTAATAGATGTTTACAGAGTATTCCTACCCACCAAGACAGCATACACATTCTTTTCAGCTGCACACAGGTCCTTCTCCAAAACAAACCATGTGCTCTCGCATAGAACATGTCTAGGTAAGTGCAAAGGGATTGAAGTTATCCCCTGTATATTATCAGGCCACAGTGTGATGAAATTGGAGACCAATATCAAAAGAAACCACAAAAATTTCATATACACATGGAAATTGAACAACACACTTCTGAATAACCATGGGTCACAGAGGAAATTAAAGAAGAAATCAGACAGTATTAAATTAACAATGACAATACAACATATTGGAATCTATGGGACACAATGAAAGCAGTCTTATGAGGGAAATTCATAGAAGTGAATACTCATGTTAGGAAAACAGAGCGAGCCCTATTAAACAACCTGATGCTGAACCCCAAGCTTCTAGAAAAAGAAGAAAAGGACAAACCCAAAGCTCATAAAAAGGAGGAAATTATAAAGATCAGAGCAGAAAGCAATGCCATGGAGACTAAGAGAATGATTCAAAAAAATCAATGAAGCCAAGAGTTGGTTCTTTGAAAGAATAAACAAAATTGACAAACCCTTAACCAATCTTGTCAGAAAAAAGGAAAGAAAAGGCCCAACTCCATGCAATTAGGAATGAAAAGGGTGAAATTACAGCAGACCCAGCAGAAATCCAGAGGACCATTAGTACCTATTTTGAGAACCAATACATCAATAAGATGGAAAACACAGATGAAATGGACAGATTCCTAGACACATGTGAATTACCAAAGTTGAACTAAGAAGACCTAAAAATTCTAAACAACCCAATATCAATCAATGAAATTGAAAATGTAATTAAAAACATACCAACTAAGAAAAGCCCAATTCCTGTTGTCTTCACTGCTAAATTCTACAAGACACTTAGAGAGAAACTACTGCCACTACTCTTTAAACTCTTCCATGAAATTGAAAGGGAAGCAATACTCCTGAATTCATTCTTGGAACCAAGTATCACCTTGATCCCCAAAGCAGAGAAAGACCCAACCAAAAAAGAATAGGCCAATCTCACTAATGAACATAGATGCAAAAATACTTAATAAGATACTGGCAAATAGAATGCAGAAGATCATCAAGAAGATCATACAGCCTAACCAAGTGGGATTCATCCCAGAGATGCAGGGATGGTTCAACATACCCAAATCAATAAATGTAATATAATATATCAATAGAGCCAAGGACAAAAGCCATATGATCATCTCAATTGATGCAGAAAAAGCATTAAACAAAATCCAACATGCATTTATGATAAAAACCCTATAAAAAATTGGAATAGACGGTGTCTACCTCAATCTGATAACAGCCATCTATGAAAAACCAACAGCCAATATCATACTAAAAGGTCAAAAACTGAAATCCTTCACACTAAAATCAGGAACAAGACAAGGATGTTCACCATCACCACTCCGTTCAATATAGTTTTGGAAACATTAGCCACAGTAATTAGACAAAAGAAAGAAACAAAAGGAATAAAGTTAGGAAATTAAGAAGTCAAATTGTCATTATTTGCAGATGACATGATACTCTACATAGAAGACCCCATGTACTCCACCAAAATTCTTCTAGTTTAATAACCACATTCAGTCAAGTAGCTGGATACAAGGTCAACACACAAAAATCAATAGCTTTCCTCTACATGAATAACAGACTCACTGAGAGAGAAATAGGGCAAATAATTCACAATAGCA